TTTTTTCCCTCGTGTGTGTGGGCAAAGCGAACAGGCCGACTCCCAACTACCTCAGAGACGCACGGCCCCCTTTTTTATGTGTTGGTCACTCCCACGGGACTGAAATGGCCTTAAAACAGGTTAAGGCGGGAGGGGGAAGGGAGAAAGTAGCTAAAATAGTTGATTTCCTATCAGTTTTGTACAGGTCAAGCACTACCCCTTTGGAATAAATAAAAGGAAATGTTATTTAGGCAAAGAGAATGCATTTTACTAAGAAAATAGAAGACCAGAACACACATTTCAACAGTTACAATATTATAAAGGGAGAAAACAACAACAAAAAGCCCTTCACATTTAAATACAATTTTAGTTTCAGCTGAGCCTCCCTAGGTTAAGTCCCCCCTAGGCAGTCCGGAATTGCTCTCACAAGGCAGCAATAGTTGAGTTGGACAACACGGATGCTCTAGAGAGAGAAATAATTTCACCATTTTATTTCCTACGCGCTCTGTTTGCATAATCTGACAAGTATTTTAATTCCTGTTATTAGGAGGGAGCTACTTAAAGGACGGTCAAAGCCGGGGGTACTTGTAGGGCTACGTTGAGTCCAGTGCCCATCTTGCACGCATGGGACGTCGAGCCGTTGGCGCGATGGCCAGTCCAACCCCCGACCCAAGAGAGGTTTTGATGTGTTTTTGCCATGGTCTGCCACCCCACGCAGTACCGGGGAAGCTGAGGCCGAAAGCGTGCCGAGTTTTCTTCGTGTTTCACCAGGAACGTCTGCAGGTTGACACCACGGTAACGTCGTGTCCAGGAGTGGGTAGGTAGGTCAAGGTAGATGCGCACGGAATTAGATGTCCCTTCACCAGAGGCAACTGAATTGCGTTAATCAAATTCTGCTGCAAAGGGGTATAATTAGAGCTTTGCTCTAGATTTTCTCCTTGCTCCAGTATTCAACATAATACCAGTCCTTGCATATTATGTACATTTTGTTACATACAGGACAGCACAGTGCTTTGTAACAGTGGACGTCAACTTTAAAAAAAATGCTCAAATGACAGTGGTTTTCTCCTTAAATCCAAGAACAGCATTTTATAGTCAAGACAGACCTGAAACCCAAACTATTTTGTTCTTACTGTTCCTCTCTGAAAGTTGGTGAATTACTTCATGTAGAGCACAGAGATACCAACATCTGCGCCTTGAACATCGAGGAGGCCTGCAGCAAGCCCCAAATAAAAGAAAAGTTGATTTTTAATTAAATCCAGAGTCAGCTGCACTTCAATGTATAGTTGTAGGTGCGCAACATTACTGATCCCCATTCTCCTACAGGAATATTTGCTAAATAGGGCTGCTAATGAAAAAACTCACAGATAAATTGTGCCTGTCCCTTACTTACAGTTTCTACCAGGAGAGTGAGACACAGGATTACTTTACCCTCCTGCAAAACAGCGTGCTGGAAAAGACAAGACGGTGCAGGGAACGCACACAGCTACCGCGGGGCACCTGTTAGCCCCGATCAGCATCTAAAACATCGCTTCATTTTAAGTTTGGAAAACACAACATCACGAAACACCACCATTAACAAACACATCCAAGGACTTGGGTAGCAAGTCACACTTTTGGTTATATCAGACACTACATTTTCCTAGTCTTCCTCTCTGTGTGGGCTGTTGGCACTCACAAACTCCAGCAAGGGAGGCCGCAATCCCTGAGCAATCCTTCCTTTTTAAGGACTTTCCACCCATTCTCACCCAGATGTCTCTGTGTGTCCCAAAGACCCAGTCCTGCTCCTGTGGATTTTAAGGGAGCAAGTCCTGGACCAACGCTGAAAAACAAAACTGAGCACCCTCACCTCTAGGCAGTTTCTGATGCTTGGTATTTTTCTCCAAAGTGCTCTGTACCTTCAGACTAGTACCATAACAGAAGAGACATGAAAGACATTCCTATGCTATTAGAGAGCAAAAGTCACTAGGCCTGTGAGAAGAGTTACACCACTAGTCCTCATTTAAGTAAAAATTTGCAAAAAAAAAAAAAAAAAAAAAAAAAAAAAACCAATATAAGCTTAACTCTATGTAATGTTACAAAAATGCATCCTGGTGAAAGCTTTTTGTCTTTGCGTGCTGCAAAAGAGAATTTTCCCTATTGATACAGATTGATAAATGCTTTTGATATAGCCTGCAAGGAAAAAGAAATCAGAAAATCAGGTTAAGTAGAATATGAAAAGGGATACTGCAATTCCTTCCTATGTGGCAAGATAAGCAGTCAATTAATTAGTCAGTTAACTAATTGATTCAAAGAATAATTAGATTTGAAGAGTTCACCAGATCTGAAGATGAATCCATATACTTAAAAATATTCTGAAAAGAATGAATACTCTGAAGAGAGTGAAGAAGTTTGTGAGCTGACACGTTACCTGTTGCCAAGGAAAACAAGGGCTGTAGGTTGAAGGGAGAAGCCTGCAGCGTCCCTGCAGCGGAGCCCGACTAGAGACGGACACGGATGCTCGTGCGGATGAAGCCCAGCAGGGACCTCTCAGCTGGCACCACAGGGACGGATTGGGGACACCGTGAGGACCCTGCAGCTCCGGAGCTTGGGGACACCTACAGCCACACGGGCGGATGACTATAGCCTAAGTAGAGCCTCACGGCCGGCTGAAGATAACAGTAAAAAACACGTTTTTTCTCAACCTCTGCAGTGGGATTTACATGAAGATTATTGAGGAAGGCTCCTGGCTAGGAAGATCCGCGCTCCGCCAGCTCCGAGCAACCCTGCTGGGCTCTGCGTGGGAGAAGAGGCAGCCCACGCCAGGAGGAGAGCAGCGTTTCACAGAACAGGCACCATCCCCGTCCCCGGCACCGGCCCCTGCCAAGTGTCTGGTTGGGAGCTTCCTTGGGGACCCGAAACCACTCCTGGCCAGAGCCAGACTCCTGGTGTGAGCAGGGAATATCACTCTTCCCAAGTGCCAGATGTTCCGAAACCCTGAGTGCTGCCAGGGCCCCTGCGCTCACTGCCTGAAAAGAACAAAAAGTCAGACCGAAGCGAGGGCTGTAGATGTTTATTCCGTAACACGAGAGTTGTATCTGCTGACTGCTGGCCCTGCCCCTGCACGCAGGGCACGTTCTCCCTGTTCCTCTTCCGCACAATCCGTATTTTGTCCGAAGGAGCAAGGACGGCTGCGTTGCTCGTATGCTTTAACACACAGACCCTCCCTGCACCACAACGGCCTTTCAGGCCCTGCTTCAGCAAGAGGTGAATTTTCAGAAGGTAAACATAATTTGTACACTAAATAAATATATTTTTTCAGTAAGATCACGTATTTAAATATACTAAAAACTAAGCATAGCAAAAATAGATGAAAAAAAGCATTCTTTGTAAAAATAGTGTTTGTTGGTCTTTTTTTTTTAATCCGTACTTATACATGTAAGTTGCAAACTACATAAATCACACAAGTTGGCAAGGAAGCACCTAGAGCCCCACCAGACAGATTTTCACCAGTTTGAATAAATCATTTTTCCCCACATTGCTTTCTGTGTTTATATAA